CCGCAGACCCCAATCTTCCGCCTCCGCCTCGTCCTCGTCCTGCCGCCCTTCGTCCCTCACATGTCACGTCCCCCCAGAACCTAAGAGCCCCTTCATCATTGTTCATCCTCCCGCGTCGTCCTCATCCGCCTGCAGGCTGGTTGCACAACGCAAGCGATGTGTACGAGCTGAGCGCTGGCGCGCACGCTGTGGTAGGATAAGGCGAAGGTGGAGGCTGAGGGGGACCTCGTGTCCCCCGAGGGTATCGTGGCACCGCCGGGCACTGCACGCAGATCGCAGATCCCAGATCATCAAGCCCCCGTCATCCCTCCTTATTCCTCCTCCTCCTTCTCCTCCCCCCCAGAACATCAAAGAATTCGTCTGACCCCCTCCCCTCCGAAAGTATGTGTAAAAACTTCACTCTCACCCTCTCCCTCCCGCATCCTCCATCCTCCCCCCTTGCCTTCCTCCCTCCCCCCCTCGCAGGAGGCGATTGATGAGGGAAGCATGAAAAAGGCGGGAGCACGCAGGAGGAGGAGGAGGAGGAGGAGGAGGAGGAGGAGGATTTTTTTGAGCACTTTGGCTCCCGCTGCATGCTTAAAGCACACTGTAAGTGTCAGAGAGTAAGGTGACCCCTTTCGCTTTGGGATGGAGTCCCTTACAAATCTTGTTCCAAGCGTCAGAGCTGTAAACCGAAACTTTCTGACCTGGACAAGTCTTGTTGAGAGATGCAAGGCGGGCTCCACTAGTGTATCTCTGGCACACAGTACAAACGACAACAAACGAACCGTTCGAACAATCCAGGAGGATACACTTGTGGCTCAAATCTCTAAGCCGCCGAACGTCCACTTTCATAGAATCGGAACAGTGTCCAGGGGCAGGCTGTTTGTCGGCGGCGTTGCGCGACGTCCTGAGGCACCCTTGACAGATCCAAAAACGTTGGTCCCCTCCAGGAGGCCCGAGCCACTCCCACCGATGAGGCGAGGCAGAGGAGCGGGGGGCCTGAGCGGGGGCAGACCACGCGGCACGGGAGAGGTCCGTGCGCGGCCAAAGTGGCAGAAGAGCTGCGCACAGTCTGACCGTCATGAGAGCCGAATTCACGAGAGTAGTGCATACGTTAGCTACCTCATCCGACGGCGCCTGGTGGGACTCAGCTCCCAGCTTGGCGGCCTTATCGGCGAAATCATTCCCTATCCTTCGAAAACGCTCGTCATCGTCGATCTCTGGATCGTCGATAGGAAGATGCGCAGGCACTTTCTCACACCCAAGCGTCCATTTTCCCCCAAAGAGAACGACCCTGAGTCACGAGCCCCGCATAGGGACGCTTGGGTGAGATCTGTTGATGTCGGGCCATGCCGTGCATGGATACTACATTTTGGCAATCTGAATACAGAACAGCTGGTGCAGACAGGAAAGCGCACGCCATGGCATAAGCCGAGAATTCTCCTGCCTGGGGAGTCTGGGGGCAACTGTCCCACACGGGGCCCCAGCTCCAAGCTAAAAGATTCGACTGGGGGCCCATCATCGCCAAACCCCAGCCAGCACGATTCGAGCTGCGGACCACCCGTCGCGAACACGAGCCATCAAGGAAAACGTGGCCCCACATCTGGCGGCGGCCGTCGCGGGGCATCTCCATGCCTTCGGCCGCGAAGCCTTCAGGAAAACACTGAAACTGGATACCATCATCCTCCTCGGTTCTACTGTCGGACTTAGGGGGCGGGAGCACACTCTGGGGGTGGCCAAACAAACCAGAGGTAAGGTGGAACCGCTCTCTCTCCGAAACCGTTCCGAACTGACTCAAAACCTGCTCCAGAGCACTGCGATGAAGCAGCTCCTTCCGCTCCTCCTCCACCGCCGAACGTGAATACAGCCGATGAAAAATCGTGTCACCAGGCTGATGGCAGAGTGGGCAACGATCCTCAACTTCGCAACCTGCTGCTCGTGCGCGGGCGTAGGGCCAGATTCCTTGACAGGCACAGCAACGGATGGTTCCTTTCTGGCGAGCAGTAAACTTTTTGGAACGAAGAGCTTTGATGACGACGTCAAAGCATAAAGACTCGGCCCCTTCGGGGCCGCACTTGAGAGCCGCTTCTCTCTCCAAAGAACGCCACACCCCCCTCTTTGAGGAAAACCTGGAGGAGGGAGGGGGGCGTGAGCGTGAGCGAATGCTCCACTCCCAAGTCGCTGACCATGACAAAGGGCGAGGGCATGCTCCATCCCAGGCGGGCCAGGGACAACTTCATGGCCCCGATGGGTCCGCCCACGGTCCTCCAGGGCCAAGAACGCCCGAAAACATCGTGCCGCATGTGTCGGAGCTCGGCCCAAGAAAAACAAACGTCGGAGATCTTCGCGGCACGAGCCCAGACTTCCTTGGCCCACCTGATGGCTGGCGCCACAGCACCCCACCAAGCAGGATCGCCTTCAATCCTGCTAAGAATGGTTAAACTTCGGCCTCCGCAGGCAGGCTTCATCGTGGAGGCGCACATGCGTCTGACTTTAGTTAACTCACCGTCGCTGACCCCGTGAACCTCCGCCCCATAATTCACTCCCGCGAGAGGTCCCGCAGTGCAGAGCTTGGTAGCCCTCGGTCCTAGAACTCCTCTTTGACGCGCCAGCCTGCCTGCACGCCTAGAGGCTCTCGCAAAGCGCGTCTTCGCTCTGCTGTTGCGCCCGCGGACTCGCCTGGCACAGCCTGCAGTGTCATCAATCCCCAAATTGACGAACGACTCAGTACAAACTCCTCCAAGCCCCCCAAGCCGTTTCTGGACATGTCTGGCGATTTCCTTGGAGGACGCAACCAACCCGACCTTTCCAGGGGAAACTTGCGCAAAAAGAACCTTATCGATGATCTCCTCGAGGGACTTAGCCGCTCGTGGGAGTTCTTGCATGATGTGTCTGGTGGTCCCAATCGCA